ACCAACTCTTCCCATGAAGTGGGTAGGTTTAAGTTCATTCACAAGGTTGACACAAAATTTGGGGGCATGAGGATTCCCAACTAAGGGATGGATAATAGAGGGCACAAAAGTGAGCACCGTACTGATAGAATGACCCACATCTGTGCTTTAGATGGTGTGTATTTACAACTCAAACTCATTGTGCAGATTCCTACTGGTTACATCCAATCGGTATACTGATTCACGCCACTAATCATACGAAACTACTTGGATCATATTTAGGCCTGATCAAGTAGACGGCGTTTTTAAAAAAGAAAAAAAACAAGAGGCGGTGAGTCGAACCTGAACAGTAGAGAAACACTTGCCCAAATGGGGCAAAAGTAGCGGTAGAGAGCAGCATTAGAGACAGTTCAGGTCTTTGTTTCCATAACCCCCATTCATAAAGGGCTTAAATGATGGTATTTCGTCAGAACAAAGTTAACTTAAATTGTCCATTTACGCGCACAAATTTCAGTCTACTAGGTTTTCGGTAGCCATCTTGGCGGCATGACGTGATATTCATGCCAAATTTGTTGACAGCCTATCAGTCCTCCTGTGATTATATAATACATTTCCATCCAAACCTATAAAATCTTGCAATTGTTGACGAAAGAATTGATATGCACATCTTGGCCACCGGCTAAGCCCGCTGTAGTGAAACGTTGTGACTTTATCATGCATTAGCTTCACTCCATCGATGCAGTACACTTCTTTGTCCTCTACTGAGTATCTTCTGTTTTGAGGCCCTGTCAAATGTCAGTCACCTGAGTCGGACGTAATTCGCTCAGGTTGATGCCAAAGTTTTTTGTGCGATTCGCACAACCTTTGGGGAAGGTGAGGTGGCTGAATTTTGCACCACGCAGGAAGATTTTTATTCCTGACAATGAGTATTTACGTATTACTTAAGTGACGTTGAACTTGAGTTCCGAATCAAGTCGTTTGCACTGACACCACATAAGAATGCTACAAAAGGTGAGAAAATGGAAAATATAAGCCTTAACAGAGGACAGTATCCCTTCGGAGAGAATAGCCTTGTTCTCCACCCTCTCGCCTTCCATTAATTTGTGGTGAGAAGTGGGTTTCGCGTTCTAAAGTTGATGTGGTGCACTTCAGATGGTGAAACAATCGGGGCTGAAATTCATCCACTCAACATAGGGTGACTGGAAATTGAGTACGGAAAAGTGAAAGATCCCTCAGATCAGCTACCAGTATCCAGTCGGTCTAGGAAGAGGCGAAACCCGCAATACCAACCTTCATGTGCATTTATCACAGAAATCTTATTAACTTTTCTGGTTATCTTATTTTTCCACAAGTTTCGCAAATAAGATAGCAAAAAAAGGAGATGAAAATCACAAAGCATATCATTCTGATTGGCCCATTTCTCGACTGATGCGTACCCTCGCAGCTCCCTGTCTTAGTGTCTGGCACTTAGGTGGTAAGGTAGTCTGAACTCCTACTTAACACAATGTCTGCTCTACTTGGTAATTGGGGCGACTTAAGTGATGCAATACCCGGGATAAATTAGCTAAATTAAAAAGGCCTGAAATGCTTCTTTATTTATTGTCAGCAAATAGCAATGACATTTACTTTGAGGTCATCCTGAGGTAAAGTTAACTACATCAACACACCAGAATTGGTAATTTTAATGGGTTGGCTAGTACTGGAGAGGTTACCACATTTTAGGATCCCTTCCTTCCCTTTCTTGCTAGAAGACGACTCCAAAATGAGAAGCGGAGGAGATGCAAACTGCTCAGTGCTAAAGGGGCCTTGACAGGATGGTGCCAAATAGGATAGATCTCAAGTGGCCTTCTACACGATTTTAAACCATCTGACAGGAAACCACTTCAAGGTCATCATACCAGCCAGTTTTTTTAGGATATCTACTAAGTAATAACCACTTCTATAAATCTTATGGCAAAATTTGCCAAATTTGGCGCAAATAAGTCGCAAAAGGGCATTACAGATTCCCCAAATCGTAGTATTGTCTACATTACTAGGGTGAAATCAGTCCAGATTAATTGTAAAGCAAGTCGGTATCGCCGTTTCCTTTGATGCCTTCTTTAGATGAGTCGTAATTTCGACAGCCCAAGCAGGCCATCAGGATTTTCGTTGTGTGATGAGATGATAAATCCTTCGGACACTGCCTCTCAACCGCATAAAAATACCTCCAAAAGGTAACTCCACCAAATCCGGAGGTGAAGAATCTTGTCTTTTGCCCTTCTTGACTCACAAATTTGCTCCTTTGTTGTGTAAAAATAAAAGGATGACTTACGATGTACCTGCTTTCTTAAGTGTTGTAGTATTATCATTTCGTACTATTTACGAGACAAAGGAGGGTCAATTGGCATCCCCCTACGCTGGCCTTATGAGATGCAGGTGATTGGTTGAGGATACCAGAGCTCTCTGTTCTCCCATTTTTTGGATAGCAAAATTCCCTCATTCGTTCTTTATTTGGAATGCTTTAGGGGACTTTTGAAGCAGACGAAGAGAGTGGGATTAATTGCAATATGAAAGAAAAAGCCTTGGCCGGCTTCCTTCAGACCATTTTGTGCAAGATCAAATGATCAGCTTTTACTAACTTCCCAGTGGAGGTACCGTTGCGAAGCCTTAAGGGTTGTTTAGTTCAAAATCAAAACAAATGGTCTTAGTTTTATACTTCTTTCTTTTCTTTTTGGGGGTCATACCTGGCGCTCCCCTTGATCACAACAAAGTTAGTGTTGTATGGAAAAATACTCACTAACCAATCGCATCAGTGATTGAATTTGCACAAAACCGAGAAGTTATCCGCAGCGTTGCTGGCTTCTCTTGGAATTCTTATCTGGTCCGGAGTTACGGCCTGTTTGAGAACTGTACTTGGGGAGGGAGAAATGTACAGACCACCTCAACCATTCATCACTAGTCGTAAGACTACTGACATGAAGGTGGAGTCATTCAACAAGGGACGGAGTTTAAAATCTTTTCTCCAGGTCAAGGTTTCTCCCTATTCCTCCATGTCACTTTATTCCCACTTCACTGCCATCCATCCATACCTACCTGGATTCGGTTGTCTAGTGGAGAAGTGTAGGTGGCATAGCGTGTTCATTTAATAGACATAAACAGTTCTGTAGCGAATATTTTCAGCTAGTTCACAGCTTGTGCCTATTTATTTGCTGATAGCATTCCTGCAGAACACGGAACTGGGGTCGTTGCCGAAGGTAGACGCCATTTTCAAACCTTCTGTTAGGGGTTGTCACAGGAACTTCCATCTGCAACCTATGCTCTTCTACATTTAGGTCATAGTTTAGCGCTTAGCTGAAGACATCAAAGCCGTTATCTTCCATGGCGGAATTTGCTTTCTGCTACTACCAATGCAGTGTCCTGACACTTCCTTGAAGACGAAAGAAGACCTGTTCCTAGGGCTAGGAATGGGGGTTGTGGAATGACTCGGAAAGAGGGAATGAGCAAAGGTGGAGCTGTAATCTCTCTCGAAGCCAAAATAGAAAGTTAAAAAAATAATCAAACCATCATAATTCTATCACAAATTTGGCTTGTTACAACTTCGGCACGACTCAAATAGCTACACAACACTGGTAATGGCACAAATGGACTTCCTTTTTATTAAGGAAATGAACTCTGTTCAGCTTATTTCAATTTCCTAATAAGAAACACAAATTTACTGTCCTCAAATGCTCAAACTTTCATTATAAGTTTTTGGAAAGTCATGACCCCCCAAAACAGGATTCCTTTAAGAAAGCATTCATGTGGCTTCCATAACGTTCATTAAAATGATTGTCCAGTTTTATTATACA